ACTAGAACTCCCAATTTCCTGGTGATTGGCCCAAAGTCACCCAGCCAGCTTTCATAGCTAAGGTGGGACTAGAACTCCCAATCTCCTGGTGATTGGCCCAAACTCACCCAGCCAAACTTTCATAGCTAAGGTGGGACTAGAACTCACTGTCTCCTGGTGATTGGCTCACATTCACCTCACTGGCTTTCGTACCTAATGCGGGACTAGAACTTGCAATCAATCTCCAGCTTTCTAGCCTTAACCACTAGACCCAACTGGTTCTCTAGTTTAGTTTAGTTTAGTTTAGTTTAGTTTAGTTTAGTTTAGTTTAGCTTAGCTTAGCTTAGCTTAGCTTAGCTTAGCTTAGCTTACTTTATCTTACCTTAGCCTAGCCTAGCCTAGTTTAATATTTAATTTAATTTAAACTGAATAATTGTTTAGATTATTTTAAGAACATTGTTTGCAGACCAGTGGAATGAAACGATTTATAGAGGCAGATTGAGCCCTAAAAACCCAATGAAGGCCAAAAATAACGGCGTACCCCGAATCCTCCTGTCCTTTCCAGATCTGCCAAAACCTTTTCCTGAGAGGTCTGTCGCTGGTGGGCTGGTACCACAGCCACCCATTCAGCCACCCGCTTCCCTCCTTGCAAGATATCGACATGCAGATGGATTACCAGCTGAAGCTCCAGGGAACCAGTAACAGCTTCCAGCCGTGCTTGGCGCTCATTTGTGGTAGGTTGCAAAATGGGGAGGGGGGGTGCTCGGTCTCCCCTCCCCCACCCTGTTCCTCATTCCTGATGCAGTTGGGGAGCTCCGAAGGGAGAAAGCAGGGGGCTCAAGAGCCATTGTAGCCCTCGGGGAGCTTATTGTTCTGAGAATAAGTTTCCCAAACACAACAAACCGTCTGAAGTGAACTCAAAAGATTCCTTTATTAGGAGCGCCGGCAGCCCCGGGGAAAAAATTTCTCTCTCAACATAGGCTAACAAGTCCGTCTGGCAGGAAGATGAATAGTTGTTTGCCGTATCTATTCATCTCCGCCCCCTGCCTTATCTCCCCAGAACAAGGGTGGGATTTCACTAGTAGCGGTGGCTCTTCCGTCCCAGGGACCGGCCCGTAGATCTCCACTGCTCTCCTCTCCTCTCTGCCTTCTGTGCACCTATGCGTCAGGCACTGGAACCGGCTGTTCCTCCTCTTCTTCATCAGCCACCTCCAGACCTAGGGCTGTTGATTCTCCATCTGAGGGCAGACGGGCGGCTCAGGCTCCACTTCTGTCTGTCTCTCTCTCTCTCTCTCTCTCTCTGACAGTCCTATGACCTCTTTCCCCTCAGAGCTCCCAGGCTGCCATGATGCTGACTCTGACTTCCAGCCTCCTCCTTCTCTTCCGCTTCAGCTGCGGAAGGGGCTGGCGGCCGACACTTACAAAGCAAAGCAATTCGTGTATCATTCGTCTCCCGTAAAAAGAAGCTAGACGGAATTTATTTATTTATTTGTATCTGGGCTTTATTGTTTTGGCAAATAGCTTAAGGCTGCGAACATATCTAGCATGCTCCTCCTAGTTCCCCCACAATAACAACCCAGCGAGGTGGGCTGGGCTGAGAGAGAAGGACTGGCCCAAGGACTCACCCAGGCAGCTTTCATGGCTAAGGTGGGACTAGAACTCACTTTCTCTTGGTGATTGGCCCACTCAGACAGCTTCCATGCCTAAGGCGGAACTAGAACTCACCATCTCCTAGTGATTGGTCTCAAGTCACCCAGCCATCTTTCATGCCTAAGGCGGAACTAGAACTCACTTTCTCCTGGTGATTGGCCCACTCAGACAGCTTTCATGCCTCAGGCGGGACTAGAACTCACTTTCTCCTGGTGATTGGCCCAAAGTCACCCAGCTGGCTTTCATGTCTAAGGCGGGACTAGAACTCACTTTCTCCTGGTGATTGGCCCAAAGTCACCCAGCCATCATTTATGCCTAAGGCGGGACTAGAACTCACTTTCTCCTGGTGATTGGCCCAAAGTCACCCAGCCATCTTTCATGCCTCAGGCGGGACTAGAACTCACTTTCTCCTGGTGATTGGCCCAAAGCCACCCAGCCATCTTTCATCCCTAAGGCGGGACTAGAACTCACTTTCTCTTGGTGATTGGCCCACTCAGACAGCTTTCATGCTTAAGGCGGGACCAGAACTCACCATCTCTTGGTGATTGGCCCAAAGTCACTCAGGCAGCTTTCATGAATAAGGTAGGTACTCCTAGACTTATCTCTACAGTTGAGCCCAACATTTCTGTTGCTAAGTGAGACCGTTGTTAAATGAGTTTGGCTCAACGTATGACCTTTCAGTTGCTAAGCGAACCTGGGTTTCCCATTGATTTTGCTTGTCGCATGACTCCGGGACACTGCAACCGTCACAAATACATATCAGTTACCAAATGCCTCAGGGGTGGGCTCCAAAAATGTTAGCAAGGGATTCTTGGCCCGGTTGCTGGGTGGGCCTCCTTCACCACGGCGGGGGGGGGGGGGGGGTGGTTTTGACTTCCCCAGACTCCTGAGGCTTTCCTCGAGCCTCTGGGAGGGGGAAAACAGCCTCCCCGGGCTCCGGAGGCTCTCTGGGAGCCGGAAACAGGCCCAATTTAAGGCCCTCCCAAACTTCTGGGAGGCCTGTTTTTTGCCGTCCCTGAGCCTCCATACGCGCCCTGCACTTACCTGTATCCAAAATGGGCCTCATGGGGACTTCTGAGAGGGGCGGGGCCAGCCAGGAGTGAGATTTCGGAGGGGTATGTGTCTCCAAACTGCGCAGAATCTTAGCTAGGTGTCAGGATTTCGGCAGTTACTCCAATTAAATCATGAGCCTCGAGCTACACTCCCAAAACTAAAAAGGATTTATTAGAAGTTGACCTTCCGGCATTAGCCTGGGCATAGCCAACTCTTGAGATATGTAATTCACTGTCACTCTTGATCCTTCTTCCCCCCCCTCACCCCCCACCCCTCTAGGTGTATCATCCAACGAAACACGTCCATAGCCAAGAGTCAGAAGCTTCAGTCATCGAATCGGTCTCTGAAGAAAATATGAATGGGATGTACTTTCGATTCCACACTGCCGCCTGCTCTCTGAAACTTCCCCCTTCTTTCTGTTGTCAGTTATAAAACGTGTATACAAAATGTTTGATGAGTTGACACGAGGGGCTCTCGCAACCCCCCCGTGAACCTCCAGGAGCCCACCCCCGAAATGCCTAGATTCTGACAACGGTTGTAAGCCGAGAACTATCTGGGCTGCTTTTGTCACCCGCGTTGGAACGAGGAAGAGGGCGGTCTTTGCAGTCCCAAATGAGGCATGAAAGTTCTGGCTCTCATCCAAGCCTTTCTTTCTTCCCGCCCCAGGTCCTTACTACCATGGCAATCAAGGTGTGGAGTCCAAGATTTCCCCCTTCTGGGTTATGCCACCTCCGGAGGTGAGTATGGACATCCAGAATTAGCCCGGTTGTGTGAAGGGCTGGCAGCTTGGAAGGATTTTAACTGGGAGGACCAACGAGCTGATTCAGGATAACAGAATAACAGACCTGGAGGGGACCCTGGAGAGACCCTTCAGCCTCTTTCTGCTTTAAAGCCACTGTGTGGAGGTTTAACTGACTCAGGAAGAGCAGGCGGTGGTTTGGGAATCGCAGGGAAGGCTTCAGGGTGTTGGGGAAAAAATAAATAAACTATTTGTCCAGGATACAATAACATCTCCAGGCTTGGGCAGGAGGTTGGGATCTCCAAGGTCCCTTCCAGCCCTAGGATTCTATGATTCTGTGACTATGATTCTGTAATTCTACGACTCTATGGTTCTATGACTACTATGATTCTGTGACTCTATGGCTATGAATCTATGACTCTATGGTTCTATGATTACAATTCTAAACTCTATGATTGTTATTCTAGGGCTATGAATCTATGAGTCTACCGGTATGATTCTATAACTATGATTCTAGACTCTATGATTCTGTAATTCTGTGGCTCTATGATCTGTGAATCTATGGCTATGAATCTATGATTCTATAATTATGAATCTATGATTCTATAATTATGAATCTATGATTCTATAATTATGAATCTATGATTCTAGACACTATGATTCTGTAATTCTGTGGCTCTATGATTCTGTGAATCTATGGCTATGAATCTACGATTCTATAATTATGAATCTATGATTCTATAATTATGAATGTATGATTCTATAATTATGAATGTATGATTCTAGACACTATGATTCTATGACTCTGTGATTCTGTCATTCTATGGCTATGAATCTAGACTACGATCTACTTTGTTGATCTACTTTGTGGCGTTATGTGACTAGCACTTCTGCTAGAAGAATTCATTTCAAAGAAAGACTGGGACTCCAAAATTTACTTAAGGACTGTGGCAAAATGGTCATCAAATTGGGTGCGACTCATTTAACAAAAACACCAGGAACCTTAAGCTCTGGTCCCCACTGTGGTTTTAAGTCAAGGGCTACCGGTAAGAGGGTGGCGATTCCTGGATAATGTTGATTTTTAATGCTATGTGCCTCTCAAGTTCACTGTGCATATGTGTGAGTTGGGCAGCCATAGACATCTATTTAATACCTACATGCATACATACATGCATGCATGCAGGGCTGAAATCTTCTTTCAGATAATTTTCATTGTATGCATATACCAAAAAACCAGTGAAGTTTTATTCAAAAAGACAAGGACTCAAAATTTCCTTCCTTCCTTCCTTCCTTCCTTCCTTCCTTCCTTCCTTCCTTCCTTCCTTCCTTCCTTCCTTCCTTCCTTCCTTCCTTCCTCCCTTCCTTCCTTCCTTCCCTTCCCTTCCTCTCCCCTTTCTTTTTTCTTGTCTTTCTTTCTTATTCCCTTTGTTTCATTCCTTCCTTTTTTCTTTCTCCTTCCTTCTTTTCTTCCTTCCCTTCCTCTCTCCTTCCTTCCTTCCTTTTTCTTTTTTCTTTCTTTTTTTTCTTTCTTTCTCTTCCTTTCCTTCCTTCCTTCCCTCCCTTCCTCTCCCCTTTCTTTTTTCTTGTCTTTCTTTCTTATTCCCTTTGTTTCATTCCTTCCTTTTTTCTTTCTCCTTCCTTCTTTTCTTCCTTCCCTTCCTCTCTCCTTCCTACCTTCCTTTTTCTTTTTTCTTTCTTTTTTTCTTTCTTTCTCTTCCTTTCCTTCCTTCCTTCCCTCCCT